ATATCCTATTCAACATTAGGCGTCAAAATGGGTGGTAATGGAACGCATGTAACAAAATTCAAACTGCCTATATTAATTAAAGTTTACGGGTCCGCGAGACGAAAGTCACCAATGGTTGGATACCTTGAATGACATGGCTCACAACCGTTTGCAATGGTGCAAGTGCGTCCACTCTTTGTGTTCTCTTAGATTATAACCTTCTGAATTCCTCATAATCTCTATCCTTCTCTTTCTAACTTTATCTCATTGAATTATACCCGATTATTCTCTATTACTGCTAATACTTCTACTATCTCTACCACTATTGGATTTGAACTGACATTTGCGTCTCTGTGCTAATGCGGTATGACAACGTGAACTGATGTACTTACGTAAGAAGTTCTGGATAAATACAAAAAAAGCTTCTGCTGTGCCTTTTCTTCAAATCACGCTCACTATTGCAGCACTTCGCTACTTTCAGGACTACTCTAAGCACAGAAGTCACAAACATTCAAAGTATCACTAACGACTGAATTTGTCAAGAATTCTAGTGTTATGATTTCATTTATGTATTTAGAAAATGCAGCAGTACATGGTCGTTTTAACTGTCAAAGTCACAGAATTCGATGCTATTTCCTATTCGACCTAAATGTATAAATACGCATTATTTGTAACGTTTTATGACCATGACCAGGACCAGGGCTCGGTCCCGGATCCCTAGTCCGGGATCTTGATTCTCTTCTGGATTCGGACCTCGTACTTTCTGGATGCTTGTAGAATACATATTCTACTTCATATCACGTCTTCTTATTTCTACTAAATATGGGGGTTAGGATAATCGGATTTGAGTAGCATTTCGTATCACCGGATTCTCGATCCTCGCTCTCGTTTCCCGACTAGGTAAACTCGTAATAGTTTAAGTATATCAAGTTGACGTGTTTACGTGCAGGCGTAACAATTTTGGCGTAAAGTTTACTTGGGCTATGTTACTTACTTCTGTTAAGCGACAAAAAAATATAAAGTATAGAATAACAGTCAACATTAAACGAATTAATGTTAGCTTACTAGAACAATGCAACTTGACTGGTGGAAGTTTTAGCTCTTTGGCAATATCGCTATTTTTGATTTTTGCAGCTTCATCAATAGTTTTACCCTTGACCCATTCAGTTGCCAATGAACTAGATGCAATCGCTGAACCACAACCGAATGTTTTAAATTTTGCATCAATTATTTTACCATTTTCATCGACCTGAAAGTTTAAAAAAAGTATATACCAAGAATCGATTTATTACGTGTGGTGGAAACAAAAGATTGGAAACGAGAGAATGGTGATAAACTGTTACCGCGTGTAATCGATTGCTTCTCGCCACTTATCTAACAGCAAATAAGAATTTTGATGAAATATAGTATATAGTTATGGTCCGACGGTTAGGCGTTCGTGCACAATACCGAAGTTCCCGAGTTCGAATCCTGAGAGGTGCAGGAGTCGTAAATGCGCACTGCCATTGATGAGTAGTCCCATACCAAGACGAAACGGCCGTCCAGTGCTTCCAGGTTTCTAATGGTAGTCTAACAATGATTGATTAATGATTTCAAATGTGTAAAAACACAAATCTCCAAAACTCTAACTGAAAATATAGTTATTAGTTTAGAAGCGTAAAGTTCGAAATTTTCAAGCTTGTGCCGATAATATGAAACTTTGACGAAAAACAGATCTACTGCAATGTCTTTTATTAGTTGATAATATTTCGCTTCATATCGGTCTACAATAGTTAACACTGAAATGCTAGTAAATGCCTATCTTGGTCTTTTCATTCGATAATTAGACTCCTTTATTTTACAGATTTTTCCTTCCGTCTTCTGTTTTCACGAACTCTGACAAAAAGATCAGTAATAATGAGGATATTAAAAGCTGTTATGAATCACAGATAAGGTATACTAATAAAGATACGTACGTTGAGAAACTATTACCCACCATATCAAAAACAATACTTCATCTCGGTGATGTAAGTCATACTTATGTAGTAGGTATTTAATAAGTATAAATTTAAATGATAATTATTACAAAGGAAACCATACTAATAGAACAAACACCTAAAGCCGGCGACTGCTGAACAATTATTCCTTACTGAATTCTAGGCCTTCTTAGTAAGAAGTCGTTATCAGTAAAGTTCAACCATGTGATCTCATGTGCTATTACGGATATGAGGGTGAAAGCCACATTCTGACTGCGCACACATTGGAAGGATGTTTCTTGAAAAACCTGACAAGGAGGTTGGATCAGTGTTGATCTTAACGATCTTGGATCATGACTGCAGAGCCCAAGAGACAACTGCTTCAGGCCGGTCACGCACGGCCATTTATGAGAAAATTTTAGTGTTAGCTCCGCTATTCAGGAGTCCTTACGACGCAGACAGATATCCATGAAGTAAGGTGAGGTGTGATATTTTTAGGGTCGACCTTCTCCAACCCTTTCCTTCCTTGTGAGAAGGCAGCATCGCTGCAGATGCTGGCTGTCTGTGGGAAACACCTCACTGCTGTCACACCTCTCGACAGTCAGCAGTACGACTTCACTATCAGACCTTGAGTGGCTTCTTTCAGTCTCATCGTTCTCCAATCAACCTGCCTGGCATGGTAGAACCTTCAGGAACATATGTTCCAGCCAATATAGCTCGGTTAGGTTATCACGATACGTAAGCACGACCACCACGTCTAGGTAGGATGTGAGGCAATTACCCACCGAAGACAATGGATAATGATTGCGCAATATGGTGGATTGATTAGAGTTAGACAGAAACACTGTTGGATCCTAACCCAGTGGTCTAAAGGTTAGGCGTTCGTGTGCACGACCGAAGTCCCGCTATGGTGGGTGCTACCTGCAAGTTGCTTATAAGTAGTATGCAGCAAACGCCGTGTAGGGACTGTTACAGTCGATAACTGAAGACGAGAGTTCCCGTAGGTCAAAAGTATGGTGAATTCGGAACATTTTGACAACCTTTGACAACCAAAGCAATCATTCTTCTGGGTACATGGAACGTTGGAACATGGTGGGAGACCGGAGGACTATTCCAAGTTGCTGCAGAAATGAAAAGATAAAACCTAGAGGTGCTAGGAATCAGTTAAACGCATTGAATGCAGGTTGAACAACTGAGACTAGTTTCAGGGGAACTGCTGTTATACTCTGGTCATCAAGAAGAAAATGCTTCTTATACACAAGGAGTTGCATTGATGCTGTTCAAACAAGCACAAAAGTCACTAACAGGATGGGAATCTCATGGACCCAGGATCATTAAAGCACCCTTCAAAACGAAGAAAGGGGACATTACAATGAACGTCATCCAATGCTATGCACCTACCAATGACTACAATGACGACGACAAACATCAATTCTACGAAAGGCTGCAGTCAATCGTCGACAGACGCTCACCAAAGGATTTGACCATTCTGATGGGAGAACTAAATGCCAAGGTTGGCATGGACAACACTGGATATGAAGACATCATGGGACGACATCGACTGGGAGAAAGGAACGTAAACGGTGAGAGATTTGCAAACCTATGTGCCTTCAACAAACTGGTCATAGGCGGCACAATATTCCCACACATACACAAAGCTACATGGATTTCACTGGACCACACTACTCAAAACAAAGTCGACCATCTCTGTTTCAATAAAAAGTTCAGAAGGATCATGGAGGACGTAAGAACCAAAAGGGGAGCTGATATAGCCTCCGATTATCACTTGCTGGTCGCCAAAATGAAACTGAAACTCAAGATGCGCTGGACAACGGGGCGAACAACATCACTAAAGTTTAATACGGCCTTTCTTCGGGATACCGAATTCAAGATAGCCCTCACCAATAGGTTCCAGGCCTTGTACGATCTACTCAGTGGAGAGGAGACAACCATGGATAACAATTAGAAAGGCATCAAGAAGGCAATCACTTCAACATGTCATGAAGTTCTGGGCCACAGGAAGTACCATCACAAGAAATGGATCTCTGCTGGTACTCTGGATACAATTGAAGAAAGGACAAGAAGGAAGCAATCAACATCAGCCGAACAAGCTGCATACACAGAAGCAAACAGGGAAGTGAAGAAGAGAATCAGAGCTGACACACGAAAATATGTGGAAGACCTAGCAACGACGGAGGAAAAGGTTGCAAGGGATGGACAATTATACGATACAAGGAAGCTCGCTAGAAACTATCGTAAACCAGAACGACCAGTGAAAAGCAAGGAAGGCAAAGTGATCAGTAACACTGAAGAACAGCGAAATAGGTTGGTAGAGCACTTTAAGAAACTGTTGAATCGACCAGCTCCACTGAACACACCCAATACCGAAGCAGCATGCGCGGACCTTCCAATCGATATTGGCCGACCAACGATTGAAGAGATCAGCATGGCCATCAGACAAATCAAGAGCGGCGAAGCAGCAGGACCAGACAACATTCCAGCAGAGGCAACGAAAGGCAGTCAGTTGCAACGTATGAACTTCGTACGTATGTACATAAGTTCATGTTGCCATACCACATTATTAGCACAGAGACGCAAATGTCAAATCAGATCCCATAGTGATAAAGATAGTAGAGGTATTAATGTTAATAAAGAAGACTAGGGTTCGAAGATATTATTCAAAAAAATATAATTCAGTGAGATAAGGTTAGAAAGACAAAGGCAGAGGTGCTGACGATTCCAGAAGATTAGGATTTGAGAGTGTACAAAGAATGGATGCACTTGCGCCATTGCAAACGATTTTGAGCCATGTCGTTCAAGGTCTCTAACCATTGATGACTTTCGTCTCGCGGACCCCAACCAGGTAGTCTACATCTACCAACATGACTCAGTCCACTTGTCAGTGACTTCATGGATTTCTGCCATGTTTTGGTCTGGCCGCCCCTAACTTTTTTCCAACCTACTCCTACACCACAAAACATAGCTCGTCGAGGCAGTCGGTGGTTAGGCATACGTAACACATGTCCCAACCACCTCAACTGATGAAGTTTCAATACTTCATCTATTGATCTGCCATCCTTACCTAGTACTCGTTTCCTAACGACAGCATTGCTTACTCGGCTGTCCCACGATATACGAGCAATGCTTCTTAAACATCTATGATCGAATACTAGTAACCTACGAACATCTTCTACTCTTAACGGCCATGTTTCACAGCCATATAAGAGAACGGAACGAACTGCTGAGCAGTACACCCGCCCTTTGGTTAGCGAACGGATATCACACCTACGCCATAAGTGACGCAGGTTGGCAAAAGCCAATCGAGCTTTCTGTATCCGAGCTGAGATTTCGTCAGTCACCAGACCGTCAGCACTGATGAGACTCCCCAGATAAGTAAAGTGATCAACACGCTCGACTACTTCACTCCCTATCACTAGTTCAGGTGCCGAAGCAACCCAGTCTTGAAGCAACATTTTGCATTTCGAGGGGGAAAACCGCATCCCGAACATGCTCGCATTGTTGCTTATGGTAGTCAGAAGACTCTGCATTTTGTCAGCGTCTTCACCGAATAGAACTATCTCATCGGCATATCCTAGATCAGTAAGCGACTTTCCTGGTAGAAGGTTAATCCCTGAAAAATCTGACGAGCTTAATGCTAACTCTAAGAGGATGTCTACGACAAAGTTAAACAGCAACAGCACACGAGGTAACGAAAGCAGATGTGGCAGCAACTGCAAAAACATTACACACTCTCTTCAGCAAAATTTGGGACAAATAACAAGTACCAACAGACTGGAAAGGAGGATACCTCATCAAAATACCAAAGAAAGATCTTAGCAAGTGTGAGAACAACAGAGGCACCACTCTTCTCTCAATATCAGGCAAAGACTTTAACAGGGTGTTGTTAAACAGAATGAAGGACTTCGTAGACGCCCAACTTCGAGATCAACAGGCTGGATTCTGTAAGGATCGATCGTGTACTGACCAAATTGCAACATTACGGATCATTGTGGAACAATCAACTGAATGGAACTCACCACTCTATAGCAACCTCACTGACTAAGAAAAAGCACTTAATAGCGTGGACAGAAAAACACTATGAAGGCTTCTTCAAAACTACGGCAAGCCTGAGAAGATAGTCAACATCATACGGAACTCTTATGATGGATTAAACTAAGAAATTGTACACGGACGACACCTAACAGACTCGTTAGAAATAAAGACTGGTGTCAGGCAAGGTTGCTTATTCTCACCCTTGCTCTTTCTCCAGGTGATCTACGGGATTACGAATACGTCAGCATCTGGAGAGAAACACGGTATACAGTGGACAACTAGGACGCAGCTGGACTTCGCAGATGACCTGGCTCTTCTAACTCACACGCAACAACAAATGAAAGAGAAGACAACCAGTGTAGCAGCAGCAGGTCTCTACATACATAAAGGGAAAAGAAAGATTCTACGATACAACACAACGAGCGCCAACCAAATCACTCTTGATAGAGATGCTTTAGAGGACGTTAACACCTTTACATATCTGGGCAGCATCATCGACAATCAAGGTGGATCCGATGCAGGTGTGAGGGCGCGGATCAGCAAAGCAAGGGCTGCATTTTTACAATTGAAAAATATCTGGAACCACAAACAAATATCAATCAACACCAAAATCAGGATTTTCAATACAAATGTCAAGACAGTTCTACTGTATGGAGCGGAAACTTGGAGGACCACCAAAGTCATCATGCAAAAAATAGAAGTATTCATTAACAGTTGTGTATGCAAAGGAAAGGGGGAAGGCCAAGAAACACATTACGCCGAGAAATAGAGAAAGATATGAGAAGAATGAGCACTGATTGGACAGAACTGGAAAGAGGAGCACAAGACAGAGTAGGTTGAAGAACACTGGTCGGCGGCCTGCGCTCCATCGGGGGAGACAGGAGTAAGTACTATCAGATGACCTCGGATACGTTCAGTAAAATAGTACTTTTAAAAAGGTAACAGTTACATACACTATAATATCAATGCTTTTGTAAAATAATCCCATGTAAAACACAGAAACTGGGTACTAAAATGTTATAACACAGAAATATATATATAGAAATAGCTGTTTCCCAGAATGGATGTCTTACCTTTATTTGGAGCTTCATAACATCTCCACAGGCCGGTGCACCAACCAAACCGGTGCCGACAGACGTGTCTTTTTTATCGAATGAGCCTACATTACGAGGGTTTTCATAATGATCTATGACATTCTTGTGATATGCCAAGGCATGTGGTTTCAGACATCTTTTAATTGCTAGCTGACATACCCCCAGACGATGAGAAATCATCGGGTAAGTTGGTCTATTGACCACTTGTACACAGTACTAATAACAAGCACAAGCTAATTACCGAAAGTTAATACATAAAATGAAAGAACTAAAGTTATTGGTTGAAAATAGAATACTAAAAAACTTAAGAAAATTATAGAAAACATTTGACTTTTCATGAACTATATGGTAAAACAAGTATGCTTATCAAATGCGTATAAGTGGTGAATTGTCAGATTAGGTTCAGTAAGTAACCCGAGTAATTTGTGGGTTATTTTTACTTACTTATTAAGTGGAAAAATAATGCTAGGGAATGCATCGAAATAGAAACTATTCGTCAACACTGTCGATAAGTAACATTCATGAACAGTTGATTCATAGCTGCTGCTAAAATTCGTTTCCATTACCGACAAAAGTACATTATTTACAGGATCCTATAGATTAGGGCCAGAAACTAGTAGTCAAAGATCATCAACCTAAATATTTTAGTCATATATGGGGTATTAGAGATGCGAATAGCTCACCTGTAACAGTTCTGAATGAAGAAGGTCCAGACCTAAAGCAGGGAAATATTTCCTTAAAATTCCTAGGCACCCTATTTATAAGTTCAGAGTAGCAATAAACCTGGGCTCAGGGCGCGGTCCCAATAGTTTTCAATAATCTAGCACCAAAGAAGGCAACATGGATTTTGTGGTCAGACCATGAGTCAGCTTCTTGCATATACATCTTGAGAACTGCATTTAGAGCTATACAATAAGCTTTGGATGAGTACTAATACCATAAAGATAAGTTAGTTATCGTTAATACCTACTCGCGGTCACTCACCATATATAAAGTCATACTACGGCCTTCTCGATAGCCTAAGAATTTTACAACTTTACCACTTGGTAACCTGCGGAATTCAATATGACCCCACGCTCCGTAATCTGTTTAATTTGCCGCATTATCATTCCGAAATTCCGGCATCCGAACATACAACAGTTAAAACCGTAGGCATGAAAAGGGGGGATATATAAGCAAGGATTGGACCGACTGACAATGAGGTGAAGCTAAAATGTATATCTACAATATCACTTAGAAATATGCGGACGTTGAACTGTCAATAATATAGAAAGCACTTCAACTCAACATTGACATCTTATCAAAAATTCGATCTTCAGTATTATAAGTTGGAGAATTGGTGCGTTAGCCAACCGTAATTCATTGATGTTACGGTCGAAAAATAGTCTGCACCGGTCGAAATATTTTAGGCAATTTATTAATCCACACATGTTATCACAATAGACTTATTCTCTGAGAAATTTAAGAACTTCCAGTAACTGGTACCATTTGTTTCAGTCATAAAAATTAGCGGCTTCTACAGAGGAGGCAAAGTAAAGATGCATCCTAACGAAAGGATAAAGAATGAAAGGTAACCATTCTGGTGATAGCCAATCTGAGAATAAAATCGCACTGCATCTCGGATTTGAAAGAAATGAATGAACATCACATAAACTCATGTGAGAATTTAAAACAATTAGTTCCTTTTATAAATTTTGATAGCACAGTGAGAAAACGTCTTCTCGCTGTTCTATCATGTGACAATTATTTGAGAGGGTTTGTAATGTCATGCCCGGTTCTAAAATTCCGGGGTTACCCACAAAAATTAGGAATTTCCCGGCTTATGGATCCACGGAAATTATTAAAGGACATTTCTTCGTATCAGAGACAAGAAACTACACATCACCGAGCAATCGATCCATACCGTTGCGAAGGAATCCGAAAAATGCGCTGTTCCCTTCAATAAACAATTTGGTGACAACGACTGGTTAGTCCAAAACTTCGAGTTGTGAAGATAGTATTTCTTTCCAGCTGCAAGTTTGGATGTTAAGCAGTGAGTTATAGCATTCTTACTGGCTCATATATGAATATGTCATGTTGAACATCTGTAGCAAAAGTCAGCATCTGGTTCTGAATGTCACCCGTTGTTTTGTCTTTCAAAAGCCATTCAGTGACATGCTTCTCTACGTACCAATCACTATTCAAACTTATCTTCGAAAAAGCCATTCCTGTATTCTGGTTATAGTGGTTTCAGGATATTTGAATAACTGTGGTTTTGGACAATAGGACTACCAATGCTTGTGTTATCTCTTTCTTTCTTGGCTGCATATTTGACTGTCTACCATTTGACAGCTAACATTCATGGGGCCTCAACGGTTTGTGTTTCGATCCTAAATTCGAATTATTTTTTAAGATGTGGGTGAAATTATCATTATTGCAATAATAAATTTATGGTTTCGTGGATCTACGAAAGTTAAATTAATTGTCCCACAATACCGAACTAGAGTAATGTTTGATGAATATTAGAGTGATGATTAGCTGGTAAGTACATGATGAATACTTTTCTAACAAATAAAACTTTCGTCGTTGCCTCAGCAACAGCATGCATTTTTTTTTGTTATTCATTAACTCTATTAATAAACTGATTTCCTCCAAAGATTATCAGCCTTTCGTAAGGGCCTACATTATCAATTTTTAGCTAAACGACCACATCCACCGGCCGATTCTAACCTGGTTGTAACTTTATGCTCCTTTTTTTCTGCAAACCTATTAATTATATTCACGCGCATTTTCAATGCTTGGTTTGTATATGTTTACTGTCTACATAAAAGTATTCATCGGTATTTAAACATATTTCACATTACCAGAAGTTTCGTTACTCTGCATCCACCGATATTAACCGCATTACCAATCCACATATTCATTCGTGGATAAGATATATTCCTGAGGTCTTTCAGACAAAAACGATGACGGTTATAAACAGCCCTTGTCAACTGCGGATAGGATTTGTTTTTTGATATTGTTGAGTATGATACACTTAAAGATGTTTTGTACACTATAGAAAAAGACCTAGTTTGGCCTAGAAGAATAAATTCTAGTTCAATGGCTCTACAGCGAATGCTGAAAATTACCGACCCATAAACATTACTTCAGTAGTATCTAGGGTGATGGAGGAAGTATCGAATGCAGCGTCAGTACAGCACCTACTTAATAACAGCCTGATTTCGACCTCACAGCAGGGGTTTTAGAGCTCCAGGTCATGCGATACATGCCTGCTAGATTATCTCAGTGATATCACGTAAAAACGAGATAAAGGGCTTCTGGTATCATTCCTTTACTTTGAGAAAGCTTTTTATTAGGTCCCACACAAAACGCTTCTCCTTAAACTGAAATATTTTGAGATCAGTAACCAACTGTATTCGTGCTTTGTTTCATTCGCAAATGGAGGCTAAAAAATAGCAAAATGCAGCGATCGCCTTTAATTACCAAGACCGATAACCAGTGGAGTTATCCCGGGAAGTGTATTAGGTCCACTATTGTTTCTTATGTATATAAGCGATATATGTGAACTATAAAACTTGGATGATCATTTTTATATGCAGATGATCTCAAAAATGTATACAGCTATAGGCCTGAAGATCTGGACGAAAACAGAGCCATGATTCAGAGTGACCTTGACGAGTTATCTACTTGGAGCGAAACAGCAGCTACCTTTTAACCACAAAAAATATGATATCATGCACTTTAGTAAGCATCACCATGAAAAACCACTCTACTTACAAAAATGTAGCGTTCAGATACTCATATCAACGCTTGATCTCAGTATTCATTATTCCAGAAGACTAAAATTTGAAGAACTTGCCTCTACTATTATCTCTAAATCCAGACGATTAATCGGGTTTATCAATAAAAAATTCTTGACAAACGAGTCTAGGCTTACACTCTTCAAAATGTGTACAGGGCCCTCGCTTGAATACTGTTCACCTATCTTTTCAAGCATGAATATTATAGACAAGGTACGAGTAGAAAATGTCCAAAGAAACCTCATACAGTGACTGGCAGAATGGAACCATACTATCGACAACAAGGCAAGATGCAAACATCTTCCCCTAGAACCTCTATGACACCGTCTGTTTAAAACAAACCTAATACTCCACTATAAAACAGTATATGGCCTCTCATTCGTGAAATACCACCCAATTATGGAACGCGACACAGCTTACAGAACTAGAGACAACTCATATACACTGCTAACGGTAAAACAAAAAACCACTGTGTTGTAATTTCTTTTTCACACAATACAGTCTATTGTGGAGCAGATTAACAGTTTCTATCCATGACTGTGCTTTATTCACCAGTTTCCAGTAACTAGTAATGCTGTTGTTCGACTCTACAGAGATTTATCAACCATTCCCGGAACATACGAAATCCCGAAGCACTCTTTTATGGCCCAATAAATTTTTAAATTAATCTTAGAAACTAATAACACACCATGAATATACTGCCCCAATAAATTTAAATTCAAATCATCATCTCCAATCTTTCACAGCGCTTTTAGTTTTTATTTCTAGTGGACAGATTGATTGAAAGGCCTGTAGATGCCGCTCAGCTACTGTCAATTACAAGGAACTGGAACTTCCTGTATCATTGTGAGTTCCTTCTTGTTCATGTATTAAGAGTTTAATAAATTTTTATTTCTCCAACTAAACAATATCAAATCGACTTGCTTTATTACCTATTTATCGCCCTACTCATGAATTTTTAACACTAATCTTCCTCTTTTTCCTTCTTCAGCTGCCTATCTTTCCTGTCTCTAAACTATCTGTTAACTGACCCTTACCTTAAAATTTATGCCATTAGTTAACTTAATAGTAGTGTTATATGCTACGTGGATATTTAGTCCAACAAACAGAAGCCAAAGCTATCTGGTTTGTTCACAACGTGAAGATAGTAGGGAAAGTGTATTCCGACAAGGCGCACAAAAAGAAGAGCTTAGATTAAAACACATTATATCGAATCTACCCTTAAACATAAGAGAGCCTTACATTACAAAAGGAAGAAGGGTGGTGTATCTGACCAGCATTCATGACGGCGGAGCGATAACCTGAATTCAACCATGTCTGTGGCGCAGAACATTTTGTTTGCTTGTGGCTCCTTACTGTCCAGCAGGGTGTAACTGATCAATGATATTGATGTTACTT